TGAAAACCCTATGGGGCAGTTCTACTCTGTCCTAATAGGGGCATGATTTGGGTTTGGGTTTTCTTTATTTGTACAATAAGCAGTTTTCTTTTTATCTTGAAACTGTTTTCATGACATTGACAGTAGTCAGTGTGAATTCTACCTGTAACCTTGAAAGTATTATTAAAATAGAAAGTTTTGGAACAGTGGTGATGAACTAATTCTTAATGTCTTACATCCACATTACCACTGCCACATATTTATTAATGTCTGAAGTATTATGTAGTCTTTAAGTAAAAAAAACAAATTAAAAGTGCTTATGCCACTAAGAAGGAGCTCTGGTGGTACAGTGTTAAAGCACTCGGTTGCTAACCCATCTAAAAGGTTAGCAGTTTGATCCCACCAGCCGCTGTGTGGGGGAAAGATGTGGCAGTCTGCTTCCATAAAGATTACAGCCTTGGAAACTCTATGGGACAGTTCTACCCTGTCCTGTAGGGTCACTGTGAGTCAGAATCCACTTGATGGCAGTAGGTTTGGTTTTTGGTTTGATGCCACTAAGATGTGTATAAATTGTGTATTTCATACTTACTCTTGGTTATCTCTTCTTTTTAGCTAACTTTGACCTGCTCTATAGTACTGGTTTAAGTAGATATTTTAGAAAAAACAAAAGTAAAAACTTTTTATCTCCTCACATTGTGGGGAATGAATCCAAGGTCATGAAACACTTTATGTGCATACTGTCAAGTGCGAAACTAATTTGTGCTGTAAATTAGTTTCACATAAAGCACATTTAAAAAAAAAACAAACAACTTTATCTTCTCTCTCTGGCTTTTATCATTTCTAAAAAGTGCTCAGGAATCTTAGTTTGTATGATAAAAATTTAAGACTCTAAATTTTGCATACAGTACAGAAGCATTGCCACTATAGAATTTATGGAAGAAACTCTGGGCTTAATTTCTGGTATAGGCATTGCGTGTTAATATCTCAGTATCTGAATGAAGTAACTGTAATGTGGCAAATAATAGTGATGTACAAGAATCAGCACCCAAATGTATGAACAAATGCAAGAAGAATTCATATTAACCTGGTTTGTTCCCTTTTTTAGAGAGATCATAGGCCATGAAATATATTAAATAGAATGCCTTACTGAGAGATCAGTACAACACCATAAAAATTATTGTAAAAGCATGCTCAAAAAGTACAGAAATTTCCATAACTATGTCTGGGCCAAGAAGATGGTATATTATTTCTCTGAATGTTGTGAGGAGATTAACTGGAAAACAATCCACTTCTAAAATAACCTTTTATTTTTTCTAAGTTCAAACCCACAACCTTGAAGTAGCCCTATCTGTTGTCTCTCTTCTTGCACCCAGATATTGAACACTGTAGGCTACAATTAAACAATTGAGCGGACTGATGATAGCAAATTTAAATTTCTTACGTGATGTTTTCAGGGCCATTTGGCATCCTTCTGAATCACTGGGCAGCTGTCTCTCTCATTTCCTACAGCAGATATTTAACAAATTAGTTCTTTGAACAAACATTTCTTGAACTCCTACTCTGCTAGACATTGATCTAAGCTCTGGGGGCATAGCAGTGAACAGTATAGATGGAAAAAACCCTGTCTTCATGGAACTTAACCTTCCAGCAAAATACTAAATGCTACGTAAGTATAGGATAAATATGGGCAGTTACTGTAGTTGGTGGGGTGACTGTATGTCCCAGTTTGCTGGAATAGCCCCAGTGTAACACCAGCAAAGTAAAGCAGGTACTGTCATCTTCTTCACAGAGAAATTCGTGGTTCTCAGGAGCTAACCTACTCAACTTGTCATTCCCTTCTTTACAAATCTGTCTTTATTTCTACTCAGCCTCATCTCTGTCCCTCCATTTCAGAAGAAGGGGCATCTCTCCTTCTGTGTAAAAGCTTGTGTTCTAGCCCCATCCTATCCTGTCTCCTGTAGGACTTTGTTCTCTAAATTACTATAGCTTCAGACCTATATATCCAATTGCCTTTTGGACATATCCACCTGGATGTTACATAGACATCTCAAACTTTGCTTATTTCACCTGGCTACCACAACTGACCACTCTGACCAGGAACATAATAGAAGGTCCCAGTTACAAAGGGGGAAAAATATAGAACAAAATTCAAATGTATAAAAAGGACCAGACTTACTGGTGTGATTGAGACTGGAGGAACCCCCAAGACTGTTGCCCTAAGACACCCTTCAAACTTGGAACTGAAGCCATCACCGGAGGCCACCTTTCAACCAAATGATAGATCTGGCCTATAAAATAAACAGTAACACCCATGAGGAATGTGCTCCATAGAACAATCAACTATACGAGACCAAAAGGGTAACATTTGCCCAAAAGCAAAGATGAGAAGGCAGGGAGGGGCAGGGAAACAGGACAAAACAGGGTACCTAGGGTGGAAATGGGGAGAGTGCTGACACATTGCAGCAGTTGCAACCAATGTCGGGAAACAATTTGTGTATGAATTATTGAATGGAAAACTAATTTGCTGTGTAAATGTTCACCTAAAGCACAAAAAAAAAAAAAAAATTCAAACTGAAATCCTATTCTTACCCCTTTCAAACTTGCTCTTGTACCTCTTCTCTTCCCTATCTTACTTGGTGGTACCTTCTCTACCCAGTTACCCAAGTTGGGAACCAGAGAGGAGTCTTCAACTCCTCCCTTAACATTTACCATTTAAAACCTTGTCTTAGTCATCTAGTGCTGCTGTAACAGAAATACAAGAGATGGATGGCTTTAACAAAGAGAAGTTTATTCTCTCACAGTCTAGTAGGCTGTAAGTCCAAATTCAGGGTGTCAGCTCCAGGAGAAGGCTTTCTCTCTCTGTCGGCTCCAGAGGAAAGTTCTTGTTATCAATCTTCCCCTGGACTAGGAGCTTCTCCCCGCAGGAATCCCGAGTCCCAAGGACACACTCTGCTCCTGGTGCTTCTTTCTTGGTGATATGAGGTACCCAATTCTCTGCTTGCTTCCCTTTCCTTTTATCTCTTGTAAGATAAAAGGTGGTGCAGGCCACACCCCAGGGAAACGCCCTTTACATTTGATCAGTGATGTGACCTTAGTAAGGGTGTTATAATCCCACCCTAATCCTCTTTAACATAAAATTATGATCACAAAATGGAGGACAACCACACAATACTGGGAATCATGGCCCAGCCAAATTGATACACACATTTGGGGCAGGGGGGCACAGTTCAATCCATGACAAACTTTCTCATCTCTATTCCTATCTCTTAGCATTTACTTAGTAGCGTTAAGTGAAATCTCAGCCAAGGGAGCTCAGCCTTCATTTTGTCTTACCTAGAATCTCATGGTCTTCCTACCTCCTGTCAGCCTTTCTCCATCCCATCTGTAGTGCTGCCAGTATAATATTTTAAAATTGCAAATCTCTTTAATTCCTTCAGTAGTTCTTAATTGCTCACAGAATTAAGATTATATTCCTTAGCAGACATACAGGGTCTTCCATGACCAGGCCTTTCATCCTCTTTATCTCCCACTGTACCTTGCACACTCATCCTACTCTCAAGCCATACTGAACTATTTATAGGGCCCCACATTTGCCATGTTGTTTGCTCCCTTGTCCTATACTGCTGTTTCTTCTGCCTGGCATGTCCACAACCTTTATCACTTCTCTGCTTCCCTGTCCCCACCTAGGACAGCTAGAAGAATTATTTCAAGACCCAGTTTGATCTCCTTTGTATATAATCTTCCCTGATTTCACAATTGACCATGCCTACTTTCTGACATCATTGTACTTTGTTTTCAGGCCTATTACAGCGCTTATTACTGTATATTTCTTTTTGTTTTTCTGGGTATCACCTTTCAATGGACTGAGCTCTTCCAGTAGTTCCACTGTGTAGCATATTACAGGCACTCATCAATTGTGTGGTGGTGATGGAGATGATGAGCCTGGAGTGGATCACAACAGTTCATTTAAATGTGGCTGTGCCTCTCCTGTCGAGGATTGCTGGGCTTGGAGACGTACAGATGAAAATGGTAGACATTTCTGTTATCTTCCGTTGTCCCTTCTAGAAGCTGTTGCTCCAGCCTTTAGTACCACATTCTTTTTGATCTATACTTATGATATTCTGATATCTATTCTCAGCCTTTGTTTTCCTTTTATTTCACTTGTATTGTTGGAGCAGTTAAGAAGCCTTTAAATTACTATTACAAAATCCCTTTGCCCCATTTTTACTCCATCACAGGAGAAATCATACCCTAGCCTGTTCTCATTTGATTCTTGTGTGCCAAAAGAAGTCTTTCCTTACCCAGTGAAAAGAAGAGTCATGTTATAATAAAGATATTTTTTCAGCAGTTTTTTAATCCTCCTAGGTCCCCAAATTGTCTCCACATATTTAGTGCCAAATTAAAAGCCATACCAGTTCTTTGTTAATCCTGAAAGAAGAAATAATGGGTTTTAAAGATTGTTACAATGGAATAATGAAGACTCCTTAGGCTTTGAATATGAAAACTTCAGATGACCAAGGGTCCTGTTATACACATTGGGGTCAGAGGATAGTGGAATGGTCAACACCTCAGTTTAGACTTAGGCATTATTTCCCACTCCAGATACGCTGGTAGAAGCTACTTGTGGTGTAACTCCTTATGTATATAATATTTATCTGACTCTTGATTTTTTTGGTTGATTTTTTAAATGGGTGAAGAATCTAGTTATGAATTCTTTGCCCTTTGTGGAATGTGATATCTTGGTCTTGATTCCATCCGTCCCATCCCCTGTACTTAATTTTATCTTGTTTTGCATTGTGTTTCTAAAATAATGGCTTTAGCTTGTTTTCCCTGAATGTTTTCTGCAGTTTGGTTTGAGTATCTGGCTTTGGGCACCCCCCCTAAACTTGAATTTCATCTGTACCTGTGACTTTTGGAAGGCAGAAGTCAGTGTTGGAAGATGACCTTTTTTTTTTTCTTTTTTTAATATATGTATGTGTCTCCCCCCTCCCTTTTTTTTTTTTTTTTGTTTCTCTTAAAAGACTGGAAAAAAAGCAGTTAAAGCAGTCCTGTGGGTGTCAGCAGATGGACTAAGAGTTGTGGATGAAAAAACTAAGGTAAGATTTTTATAAGCTTATATGTGACTGTATATATGGGTTTGTTTGGTTTTTTTTTGGTCCATGATCAAATATAATGGCCTTAAGCTGTTGAAGTTAACTCTACATCCTTCCTCTTTGTCCAAAGTACAGTCTCCTGAGAGACTATTTAACGTTCAGGAAACCAATTTGGTTACTCATTTACCTTATGAAAAATAGAAGAGAATTTTCTCAACAGTTTGTTCTACATGATACAGCATGTTTAATGTAGTAAGCATTTTCATTTAATGTTAAGATCTGAGTTCTATTTTTGTTTTTATATATTTAAGAAAAATTTTCACCTCCACAAATTTGATGTTACAGATGGCCCACTTCTAAAATTTCTTCTTGTTCTTTAATAAAATATCACTTTTAGGAAGTGATATTTGAACTGATTAACCTGCTGTTTAACTGAAAACCCTATTTAAATAAAAATTTAAGAACTAGTAAATGGCTCATTTGATTAACATTTATGTAGAGTCCATACAACATCTCTCAAATTGTAGGTAGCATTTTTTCATTCGAGAAAAAGTGATCCTAAATGCCCAAATAAGGATAGAGACATAGAGAAAGCGTAAGGTGTTTTTTTGTTGTTGTTAGTTGCTGTGGAGTTGATTTTGACTAATAATGACCCTGTGTAGGTAAGTGCATTTAATCATTAATTTAAATTTTATGCAAGACCTCAGGTCAGGAAAAATTTTAACAAGAAAGTGATGTTTCAAAAAAAAAAAGAAAAACTCAGATATCCTTGGAAGGCGGAAAAAGTCTGGCAGATAAAGAGCAGTTTTGATGGGTAACTTGCCTGATTAATTTCAAGTGATTTAATATAGCTGCATTTTAGTCCTTTTGACCTTCCATCTAAAGCTTTTTTTTTTTTTTTCAATTTCAAGAGAAACAATTGTCTTGAATGTAAGTTATAATCATCTTGATTAGCTTATTTTTAAGAAAATTTATTTTTCATTAGTATTTTGAATGAAATTTGTCCTTGGAGGCTGTGTATTTGTTTTATACAATAATTGGAAAGTGATACTGCCCCCTGGTGGCTACTTTATAGCACTGGCATTCATTAGTTTAGCTCTTTCCACGTTGAGGGATAATAGTAATTGGTGGCTTGTCATCCTTGGATCTATAGTCCCACCTTTATATTTAGTTAGAAGCAGGAACTAACAAAATAAGTTAGGATCATTGTCATGAGGCCATGCCATGATCTATACAAATTTACTGCAGAAGAGAAGCCAAAATTTGAGTACCCTACCCCTTGAACAAGAAGCTGTCAGATTGTTTTGTTGTCCCATCTCCACACCTATTATGGATTGAATTGTGTCCCCCCAAAATACATATTGGAATCCTAATCCATGTTACTTGTGGATGTAATCCCATTTGGGAATAGAGTTTTATTTGTTTTATTAATGAGGTCATATCAGTATAGGGTGTGTCTCAAACCTGATCACTTTTGGTATATAAAAAGAGCAGATTAGGCACAGAGATAAGCAAGCACAAACGGGGGAAAGATAGATGCCATGTGGAGAACCAGGGAATTGCTGGGATTACAGAAACTGACACAAGGATATTCGCCTAGAACCAGTACCCTTAGTTTGGTCTTCTAGCCTCCTGAACTGTGACAAAATTAATTTCTGTTGGTTCTTTAAATCCACCCACTTGTGTAGTTTCTGTTACAGCAGCACTAAGAAACTAAGACACCCTGGTTTTGATAGCGTTCCTACTTAAAAGTATGGTAGTTCTTGGATAGTTGCTCAGAAGAACAGATAATTGACTGGAAAATGTGATTGAAGTGATCATAAAATTAAATTTTTATTACTAAGAAGTAAAAAAGGAAAGTCATTTTCTTTTTTAATGTCACTTCCAGTAATGATTAAGCGACTGTTGGACCAACTCTCCTGCAAACAACTATAAACTCGGGACAAAATAAAACAATTACTTGAAGACACTAGAGAATAACCCAAAGCAGGCAGATTCTAATAGAAAGTCAACACTTGGTAGAAGGAAATGACACTGGGCAGTTTTCCCATTTCGCAACTTGCAGCTTGAAGACAGAGTCCCTGGGTGTCAGAAACTGTTAAGCACTCAGCTACTAACAACAACAGCCTAAAGACAGGCTGTACTATACAAAAACCAAACCTGTTGCAGTTGAGTTGATTCAAACTCATGGTGACCCCATGTGTTACAGCGCAGAACTGCTCCAAAAGGTTTTCTTGGCTGTAATCTTTATGGAAGTAGATTGTCACGTCTTTTCTTCTCTAGCTCTGCTCAGTAAGTTCAAACCGCCAACCTTTAGGTTAGCAGCCGATCACAAGCCGCTTGGACCACCATATAGCAGACTCTGATTTCACAGAATCCCAGAATGCTATGATGTACCCAAAAGGGGGGCCTTTAAATAATGCTTTTGGTTTGATTGTTTTAGCACTTTTAGCCACACCTCAGCATATATAGATTCTAGGTCACGGAAAAATTAAATGAAGAGCCTTAGGGCCTCAAGATTTTTAAAAACATTTCGTGTAAACTATACCATTCACAAAGAAAATCAGACTCAAAATAATAATAAATATATAGAATAGTCTGGGGAATGGTATCATTAAATGAGTTATGTTGAAATTGGATTAAAGATATTGATTTATATGTATTGTTAAATTGAACATGGAATCTACCATAAAAGAAAGCTCTTCTAAAACTAGAATCAACAAATAAATGTTTTAGAGCAGTAGATGAGGTGAAGGAGGCATCTGGACTGAGTACCTCTTGGAATCCCTCCTAGGTCATATTCCCAGTATTCAAACTGCTGGCCTCAGATCTAACCCACTCCATAGCCTAGCTGCATTAGATGACGGACATAGGCATTCTTTATTGTGGAGCGAGCCTCCTATATTTCTCCTTATAAATTGGAATAACCTCATAAGTCTTCTCTTCTTTTGTGCTTTCCTTATTCTAGGACCTCATAGTTGACCAGACAATAGAAAAAGTTTCTTTCTGTGCCCCAGATAGGAACTTTGATAGAGCCTTCTCTTACATCTGTCGTGATGGCACCACTCGGCGCTGGATCTGTCATTGTTTCATGGCTGTCAAGGACACGGTGAGTCCAACAACGGGCATTTCATCATGACTATCATCAGTTAGCTGAGTGCCTTCCAGGTTGGCTCAGCCAAACAGTTTCCGGTACATTTTTGACAAGTATATGCTGCTGCATCTGCTCTCGGAAGTAGTTAAGCTAGCCTACTTTGACTACTTGTATTCAGGTAATTCCTACCTCTTTGTGTGACCCTGCAATTCACAGAGCAAGATAATCGGCTGAGATTCAAGGTCAGGCTGTGCCATTAAAAAAAGTATAAGTGCATTGGTTACAGTGGTTGTTAAACATATTTGAAAGCTTTCATTATTGAAACTGTGTTCAGGATTCTTAAATGTTTTTGTTTGCTGATACCTCTGGGTAGAAGATAGTGATATTTGGAAGGTACTTATAAATTTATTTACCAAAAGATTCTATTACAAATGAAGGAATTGAGTTAGAGTATTTTTTAATTAATTAAAAAATAGAATACTGAAGTATGGTAAATTGAACTATGCTAGAAATTGTTACATGGTAAATTTTATTATTTTTGTTTTAAAAATCTAGAGTAATTTTCATCCTTCATGTAAATTACCAAAATTCTGACATGAAAGACAAGTCTTTTGGATGATGATCTTACTACAGTTATAGAATTGAGTACACAGTAATTTCTGGGTTTCCTAAAAGTCCATGCAGGACAAGGCAGTAATAGCCATTTCTGAAGAGTACAGCTCAGTAAAGCCATTGCCAAGGCTTAACCTGGAAGGGAAGGTGGTGATGATGTTCTAGAACTGACCAAATTTTTTCTTAAAGCCTTGAGAGACAGTGGTATAGAGGCTCTGGTGTCAGATCTGGGTTCCAGTCCTGGCTCTGGCTCTTACTAGCTGTCAGATTTGGGGCAACTTACTTAATGTTTTCTGAGTCTTAGTATCCACTGTTATAAAATAGAAGTAATTGTTGTGAAGACTGAATAAGATAATGAACATAAGCACCACCTAGCGTAGGATCTGCTCCATGGTAACTGCTCCAGAAATGATGACTAGTATTGTTAAAGCTGTTCCTCCTTGGTTTGACACGGATGCTTTGAGACTGAGTGCTGCTTCTGTCTCAGGCCCTAAGAAAGCCCCAAAGACGCTGGTGTATTTTGCTGTCACTAGACTCAAAATCCAAAGAGTTCAAAAATTTCCCTATACTAATTTTAAAACTATTTTCTTGTCAAATCACGGCTCTTCAGGTGTTTGAATATCCTAGGCCAGTGGGTCTCACGTATTAGAATCACCTGAAGGGCTTGTTAAATCACTGATAGCTGGGTCCCACCCCCAGAGTTTTTGATTCAGTGGGTCTGAGGTAGGACTTGAGAATCTGCGTTTATAATTTATAATAAGTTCCCAGGTGATCTGTTGGTGCTGGTTGGGAGATCACGCTTTGAGAACCACTACCCTAGGCCTAGGAAAAACATTAAGCTTCTCTTTGCCTGCATTGTCCTTATAATTGAGCTGTGTTTACATGCTCTAAGAATCTAAGGATCTTTCTGGGTGTTTCATTCTTTCACACCTAGCCTTGTATCATCCTACTAGGAAGTTAGATGGAAATTCATTTGGATTCATAAAGACTAAGTCTGTCATCTTTAAATAAGCAGTCAGATGGTTTGTAGTCATGTAAAATTTTAGTGACAAAAATCATTTCAAACATTACCCCACATTGTGATAGCTGATGCTGTAAAATTCAGTGAAATTACTTGTTAATGGAGGAGTCCTGTCTACCTGATGTAATTCTGAGAGCGCCACAGAGGGCTCCCTGTTCCCAAATATATCTTCTCAGCACCACCGATGCCAACAGTTACACTATCTTTAACTTTTTTATTCCACCATTAGGAATGTAGTTTAAAATACAAATAACTGTAGTAAAAATAATCCATTGAATTTATTAAATTCACTCTGAGATAATCCAGTGTATCTATAAAGCAGTGTCTACCACACACAAACAACTCAGTGTTATCTGTTTAATTGCTTTATAAGTAGGGGATATAGATAAAAACATGCTTCAGCTTTTGCCTGTGTGTATGGATGAGAGGTAGAGTTGAGGGTTAGAGAGAGCTAGAACAAGATACGGAAAGGTGTGGGGAAAACCTGAAAGCACTGAGGGCCTAAAACTCAAGGGTTCCTAGAGAAGAGAGCATGCAGAAAGGCTTTCCATCACTCGAGTTGTATTTATCAGAAGTTCTAAGTTCATACCTTTTTTTCCTAGACATATGTTACGTTTTCTTTTTTGGACAGTGTACTCAATAAACTCCTGAGATCGCACTGCCTTTGCAGCAGTTTCTTAGAAATGCTCGGTAAATATTCCTACTGTTCCTCCTAAAGAGCAAATAGAGGTTTGCAGATCAAGACTGAGGGCTAAGAACCTTGAGCAGCGTCTCCTAAGCTGGTAGGCAGAGATAACGTGACAGAGGGAGCCTGTGTGATAGGTCAGTGGCTGTTCTCAAAAGCACAGGTTCCTGATGATCACTTTACATAAGGCCTGCAGCAAGCAGTTTGTATAATTAAAGCATCATAAGCATTACCTAAGGTACTTTATTCATTTTCATTAATTTGGCACACTAATATATTAAAATGTAATTTTAAGCTGGAGTTCCCAACATTTTATTTCGCTTTGTATAAAAACAGACTTATTTATTGTCCAAACTAACTCATAATGGCTGGTACTGTAATTCTAAAAAAAGTTTTTAAAACCTTCTGGTATATACAGGGTGAAAGATTGAGCCATGCAGTAGGCTGTGCTTTTGCAGCCTGTTTAGAACGTAAGCAGAAGCGGGAGAAGGAATGTGGAGTGACCGCTACTTTTGATGCTAGTCGGACCACTTTTACAAGAGAAGGATCATTCCGTGTCACAACAGCCACTGAACAAGCAGAAAGAGAGGAAATCATGAAACAAATGCAAGATGCCAAGAAAGGTACAGTCTGTTCTACTATAATGTGTGTTTATTTAATGCAGATTTCTTCAACAGGTTAATATTTTGAAGCTATCAGGAGCAAGCTTTCTCATAATCAAAGAGAAAGCCTTAGCAATATATGAAGACCTTAAGAACAAAGCTAGAAGTCTTACCAAAAGTGCCTTCCTTTAGAGCACCTAGTTTAGTAGCTTCAAAAATGTTTATGCTTTCCATTATGTTTAGCTGTCGGGGAAGCTGAGCATGTAGTTGAAGAAGCTGCAAAGACATTTTTCTCTGTGTTAAAAAAATTGGTAATATCTACAGCCTGGAACAGATTTTTAATTCGGAGCTGCAGAATTAAATTTAATTTTCAGATGCATCTGAGCTCTATAATGCATCTTCTTTCTTCTACCTTGAAGAAAGAATTTTCAGAGTTTACGGCTGAAAAGCATCCACCAGCTGTCACCTTAGGTGCAAATGCAGATGTGGATTTAATTGTGCTACTATTTTTATTGGAAACCTCGGTGATGTAGTGGTTAAGAGCTACGGCTGCTAACCAAAAGGTCGGCAGTTCGAATCCACCAGGTGCTCCCTGGAAACCCTATGGGGCAGTTCTACTCTGTCCTATAGGGTCGCTATGAGTCAAAATCGACTTGACAGCAGTGGGTTTACTATTCTTATTATTGTTTTTTAGTTCTTTAGTTGCAAAAGTCCATAGATTTTGAGAGTTTGGCGCCAAATTCTTTTTCCCATAGCTGCTAGTTTTAGTGTGTAACTTTGCAGGATGTGAGTTTTTTCAGGTACATATGGTACCACAGCAGAAATGCCTGTGCAAGTATTCAAGTTACTCAGGAGTCTGTTGTCTAACGTTGGGTTGGGTGTATTTTTGAACTAACTGGGAGAGCCTCTAACCTATCCTTTAGAGACATTGGGAAGGAGATAGATAAAAGGACATAGAAGGGTTTTTGAGTTCCTTAGCTATGTAAGCTCAAATTATATGAAGAAATTATTTGAAGACATTGCTAAGGTCCTCGTTATCTTGATTTTCTTGAGTTGAAACAGATAAGGCAATTGGGGGCTCATCAGTGGCCCCTGGCAACACTGCCACATCCCCGTCCTCTCCCACCTCTCCCACTTCGGATGCCACTGCCTCTGTGGAGATGAACAATCCTCATGCCATCCCACGCCGACATGCGCCGATTGAACAGCTTGCCCGCCAAGGCTCTTTCCGAGGATTTCCTGCTCTTAGCCAGAAGATGTCACCCTTTAAACGCCAACTATCCCTGCGCATCAATGAGTTGCCTTCCACTATGCAAAGGAAGACTGATTTCCCCATCAAAAATGCAGGTAATGTAGCATCCACCCGACTCACTGGGTGCTCTAGCAATGAAGCATTCTCATCTCTTCTGTCAGACTATCCACTCCTCTCTCCCTCAGGCTGGTTGGTGGTTGTATCTTGTGTCATTTTCCAGTAAGAGAAAACTAAATTCCATGGGGGGGGGGGAGGTGTGAATCATTCGTTTCTCTTCAACAAATAGGTGACAGAGCCATGAAGGGAATTTCTAGCCTGAGCTTAAAGGTCTGTGGTTTGTCCTGATGTAAGTGTACTACCTCTCAGCCAACCAGCTTCCAAACATCTAGAGTCTCAAGTTTCTGTTCTTATTCTTCCGCTTAGGACCCAGCAGGGAATTAATTAAACAGGCTTTAGAAACACAGTTAAATAGCATTACTGTCAGATGTACCAGAAGAAATGGGTAAGTGCCCATTGTCCTTGTGACTAGTTGGCTCCATAGTGAGGAAACTCTAAACGGGACTCCTGTGTAAATCCAAGATCTGTTGTTCATCGGAGACAGTGGGCTTGCTCACACATATTCATTACCTTTCAGAACTGCCACACAGGCCTTTGTGTGGCCTCTGTACAGCTGAGCCAGCCCTGGTTGCTCTATCCTCATCGTAAGATCCGGAGCTAAACTGTCAGATCTGATCAGTGCTTTTATTGGGCCCTAATTTACTTCCCTCTGAGAGAGGTTGAACCATTGCTATAACAGAATAGGAGGAAGCACTGTTTTAAGAGGACACTCTTACTGGTGGTGACATGAAAGTACGAGAGTTCTTTTGACAAATGAAACTAGGCCTAAAGAACAGTTGGACTAGATGATTACCGTGGGTCTTTCCAGCATTCAGTTTCTACAAAAACGGAAACAAGTACCTCTGGTGCAGCTGGGGAGCAAAAACTACTAATCTGTTTTTACAGGTGAGCAAACAGAGATTCAGCATGCATAATTAGCTTCCTCAGTGACACAAAATTACCCCAGAGTCAGTATTAAGAACAGTCTCTAGAGTCCCAGACCTCCATTCACTTTATCATGTTATCACAGTTCATATATTTGGTACTAGCAACCTTGGAGAAAATGGAGAGTGATGGCATTGTCAGTGTTTATTACAGAGAAAAGCACCGAGCACCCACTGGTGCCCCTTATTTTAACCAGTTTTTCTCATAGAATCACTAAATGGCTCTAGAACTTAGGCCACAGCCTTGGGAACTGGTTAGAAGGCACACAGGTTGCAGATGTCTTCTAGAAAGTTCTAGTCAGCTGAACATCTAGTGTAAAAAGAGAACAAAAGAGCACCAAGTTCTCAACACTGTCACAGAGGAGAAGAAATAAAGAAATTTGGGGATTTGCAAGGGAGGAAAATGTACTTTAGTACATGTATTGTTGACATTTTATACTTTCCCATCTGAAAAGCCAATGAAAATGATGATCAGTAAATTTTCTAAAACTGCTGTGTATCTCCATCTGACAGTTGATGCATTTTCTTCCACAAATAAGAGATTCAGTATAAAATGTCACCTTGTGTCATGCTGTTATATATTCAGGAGTATTCAGTTTTCCTGTCTGGAGCCCATGTCTGTTTGCCTTGCAGTGCCAGAGGTAGAAGGGGAAGCAGAGAGCATCAGTTCCCTGTGTTCGCAGATCACCAACGCCTTTAGCACACCCTCTGAGGATCCCTTCTCGTCTGCCCCAATGACCAAGCCAGTGACAGTGGTGGCACCACAGTCTCCTGTCTTTCAAGGTTAGTGCCCTCTTGGCTTAGTTAGCTGTTCTCTTCGGAACTAGTGCTTTTATTACACTGCTCACTAACTGTAAGTTGGCATCCTGAGCTTCCCAAGAACTGGTCAGATCCAGTAATTTCCCTGTTTGAGTCTTAGGCTCATTAAGTTTTGTTTGACAATGTCTTTGTGCCTTGTTCCCCTTCTTGCTTCCTAAGATGCCAGCATTCCTCATTTTGCATATACATACCTTTCTTTCCTCCCTTTCTATAAGGTGCTTCTAGAGGCCCATCCCACCACTTTCTCTGCCACTTGTCAGTTAAGGGTCAGTAGTATCCAGCCAGCTTTCCAGAAGCAGCAATCATCAGAATTGGTTCTAGTGCCGTGTCTTCTCTCAGGCAGTGGTTCTCAACTGGGGGCAATTTTGCCCCCCACAGGCATTATCTGGGAACATTTTGGGGTGTCACAACTTGGGAGGGATGCTGTTGCCATCTCGTTGGGTAGAGGACAGGGATAATGCTAAACAGCCTACAATGCACAGGACAGTCTCTCCCCTCCGCCCCAACAGAGAATTATCCAGCCCAAAATGTCAACAGTACAGAGAAATCCTCGGCTTGCCTAGTCTCTGCTTGGCCACAAGAGGCTAGGCATAAAGAAAAGACACCCCTTTGGGCTCTTCAGTTCATTTCATGAACTAAAGCTACTGTCCTAAACTTTGCCTTTGTGTCATTGAACAGTTACTAAAAGTTGTTGTTTGCAGAGATACTGAGTTAACAGTTGGTATTGACTTAAAGGTCAGCAAAGAGTTTATATAACTTAAATTACAGGCTTTTAAATTAGTCTTCCTTTAGAATTTGAGCTCCATTTCTTTTGGGAAAAAGCTCAGAAGAAGAACCAGGGCATTCAAATTGTGCTGTGGAGACAGTACCCCACTTCTGTTGGAGGAAGCTACTACATTGTTTTCCTCCAAGGAGGCCCATTTTGTAAGTAAACATTTATAGTACCAATAAGAAGAAGATACAACTTATTGAGCACTTAGCAATTTATACCTGCCACATGTGGTAAGGACTAGTGTATTATCTCATTTAATCTCCACAATATCTTTTGAAGTAGGCATTACGGGTACGAAAAATTAGGCTCAAAGAGATTAAGTAATTTGCCCAAAGTCACGCAGCTAGGATTTAAACCTAGGCCTTTCTCGATATAATACTCGTTAACATTCTACTGACTCTGTGTACTAGGCACTGGGTATACTAAATAGAATAGAACATAGTCCTTTCCTTGCCTTTAAGGAGCTCCCAGTCTGTGAGTGAGATAGGCTTTTAAAGAAGCCCTAGGTAAATAATACCAAGACCATAAGCATAGTTGCCCAGTCCCAAAGAGGGAATGATTACAGGGTAGGGCGGAGAAGGAGCTTCCTCATCTGCTCCATACTAAATATGATAGAGACCTGGAGCTAAGGAGTAGAAACTGATGGAATAGATAACTGGAGTAAAAAGAGCAAGGAGATTTTAATAAAGGGACTTTATCAGTGTAGCCATTTTAATAACAATCTCTAATCCATCTTTGCTGAAAGGTATGTGTATCCATTGCAAGATGGCATGGTTATCCATTGCAAGGTGGCATGGTTATCCCAGCACCAATTTTTCTGTCTTATGTTTATCTGTTACACCAGTATTGCACATTGGCCTGATTGACCCAGCTCCAAGGGGTCACTGGTACACACCCTGCATGAATTAACTCCATTGATGTTGTCTGCTCCCATTGTAGCTAATGGCACTGACTCTGCCTTCCATGTGCTTGCTGCTAAGCCAGCCCATACCGCTCTAGCACCTGTAGCAATGCCTGTGCGTGAAACCAACCCTTGGGCCAATGCCCCTGATGCTGCTAACAAGGAAATTGCAGCCATATATTCGGGTAAGGTGGCCACAAATGGTGGTGAGGACTCTGGGATCAGATACGTGACGTGGTTCTAGAATCAACCATTTACCTGAGTAGGAATCAAGGAGGAATCTCTTTAGGAAACGTATGTTCTTTCCTGGAAGTAAACTGCTATTAAGAGAGGATGGTGAAGGAGAAGGACAAAAGAGGTTAGATTGGTAGTTCTTAAGTATGTCTATGGGAAAGAACTACCTTGGAGCTTTTATAAAATAGATTCCTTGGCCCCACCTCCAGAGTCCATCACTGGATTTGGTGATATGTGGACATGCCCGTGGGAAGGGCGGACTCTGCCTCCTGCAATGGCAGGCCTACAAAAAGTGAGTCTTTGGAACTTTGTTTTTGCTTTTATAGTTTTTCTTCAGTGAACATTTATTAACTATAAAACCTAAAAGTTTAAAAATAGTAATAAAGGCAGTTCACGAGAAAGACAGTATGTGTCTGGAAACCAGGCAGGGGCCAGCAAGGTACAGCACGAGGTCACTGGTTTTCTTTTTGCCCTGATAGAGTAGAAGGGGAATCACCTTGGGCCCGTTAGCACCCGTGCAAGCTGGTTTCTGGACTGTAGATGAGCCATGGCGATGGGGAGAGCTTCTGACGCCAAAAAGCTACTTTGGTTCGATGTGTTTGAGCCACATCTAAACAGCTCCTCAACGTCCCTGGCTTTCTGAGACAGCAGCATGTCTGACAGGTTCTCTTTTTCTTGCCTCGAAACCTCCTCAGCTGGTAACAGAGACTTTCCTCCCACCTACCAAAAGCACAAAATATCCATTAGGCAGACTTATTCCACATAAGGATCATTCAAATAATCAAGGTTATAAGGCAAGGAAAGAAGCTCCTAATGACTGATTCTTTTGTCACTCTTCATCTTGTTGGTTCCAGGGACTGAGTGGGGTCAATCTTCTGGTGCTGCCTCTCCAGGTCTGTTCCAGGCTGGTCACAGACGCACTCCCTCTGAGGCTGACCGCTGGTTAGAAGAGGTGTCCAAGAGTGTCCGGGTTCAGCCGCCCCAGGCCTCAGCTGCCCCTCCGCAGCCAGTTCTCCAGCCTACTCCACCCACTGCCATCTCCCAGCCAGCACCGCCTTTCCAAGGGAATGCATTCCTCACCTCTCAGCCCGTGCCAGTCAGTGTGGTCCCACCCCTGCAGCCAGCCTTTGTCCCTGCCCAGTCCTATCCTGTGGCCAACGGGATGCCTTATCCAGCGCCTAATGTGCCTGTGGTGGGCATCACTCCCTCCCAGATGGTAGCCAACGTGTTTGGCACTGCAGGCCATCCTCAGGCTGCCCACCCCCATCAGTCACCCAGCCTGGTCAAGCAGCAGACATTCCCTCAGTATGAGATGAGCAGTGCTACCACCAGTCCCTTCTTTAAGCCTCCTGCTCAGCACCTCAACGGTTCTGCAGCTTTCAATGGTGTAGACGATGGCAAGTTGCCCTCAGGAGACAAGCACACAGAGGTTCCTGCAGGCACCTGCCCTGTGGATCCTTTCGAAGTGCAGTGGGCTGCATTAGAAAGCAAGTCCAAGCAACGTACTAACCCGTCACCCACCAACCCCTTCTCCAGTGACTTACAGAAGACATTTGAAATTGAACTTTAAGCAGTCTGTATGGCCTATGTATCTTGTTTGTACTTAGGCAGGGGTGGGAGTGGAGGTCAAAGGCACAAAGGGGACTCTGCTTTCCTGATAAGTACACTTTTCAGTAATCCCCAAAGTCCCCAGGACAAGTCCAGGCACAGAGTGGAGTGAGGGGTGATTTTGAAAGAAGTGGGGAAACCCATTCCTGGAAAAGAGCTGCCTTGCAGTTAGGCTAAAGAAGTCAAGGAAATGTTGCCCTCTCTCCTCATCTCCTTACAAGTCTCTGGAAACAGAGATGCAGAAGTATCTAAACAGGAATCTGTATTCAAAGCACACTTACTGGAATATAAAACACAATGGGAAGCAAAACGATCTCCCTTTGTTTTTCAGGCCATTCACCTGCCTCCTCAGTACTGGCCTGTCTTAGAGATCAAGAACAGAGTGGCTTGTGCTCAGGCTGGGTAAGAGAGGGGCAGGCTGTGTGGCCAGGATTCCCGGGAGGGCATGTCAGCAGTTGCCCGGCAGAGCTATATTTTGGGGATAAAGTTGAGCTTCCATTTTGAGTAACAGAATAAATATTATAAATATATATCAAAAAAGCCAAAATCTTTATTTTTATGCATTTAGACTATTTTAAATAGTTCAATATTAAAAAGTTGTATGAGTTGTAAGTAATCTTGCCAAAGGTAAAAGGGTTAGCTGTAAGAAATTGTACATAAGATTGATTTATCATTGATGCCTATTGAAGTAAAAAAAGGAAAGGTTGAAGGTGGCAGACGGGATCCCTAGTTTGTTCAGTATCGTTCATTGTAAGTAGCACATTGCAGCAACAATCATGCTTATGACCAATACAGTCACTAGGTTATAGTTTTAAATAAAGAAAATGAAAGAGCAGTATTGTCCTGGTCTTAAACTTATGATGAAATTCTAATGCCATTATTTTAATGGAATCTAAATATGCTCTATAGAGAACATGTATTTTATGTTAATCCTTTTTTTTAAACACTGAGGTGACAATTACATAATCATATCCACAGAAGGGAACACAGGTTACTGTGTTGGGTCATTATGTTGATGTTGGTTTAGTGGGTTTTGTTTTGTCCGAGTTTTGTTTCTCCGAGTTTTGTGGGGATGGGGATTCTGGTTTTTACTAGCTTTGTGTGTTTTTCCTGTTTTGGTTAGCAAAAAGTCCCATTGCCAGTTGCAGCCAGTTGACCTCTGGTCAAACAACATGAGATCCCATCTCATTTTTACTTTTAAACGTTGGCCTTACAATCAAATGTAAGTTATATATATTTGTACTGATGAGAATTTATAATCTGCTTTAACAAAAATAAATGTTCATGGTAGAAGATTTGCTCACGAAGGGCTGTTCTTTCCTTTTCTTTATTAGCAAATATGTTTTTTTGGTCTTGTGTGTCTCCATTCTGCTGTTGATCTCTAGTTTAGTGGCAGCTAGAAGATCTTTCACTGGGACTAGTATATCCTTAAAATTCGTATTTTCATTCATACTTTGGGCTGAGTGAGCCTGTGCATATCTCTAAAGTCAGATTCTTGCTGCACGGACATCACCTGGAGCTTGTTAGAAAGGCAGACTCTCAGACCCCACCCAGCCCTCCTGAATCAGAATCTGCATCTTAAGAAGATCCTCAGGTGATTCACATGCACGTTACAGTCTGAGAGCCCAGGCCTGGAGCGGTGATACTCAACCTTGGCTACACAGTGGAATTAGCTGGAGGACTTTTACAATATTACTGCCCAGCCCACAACCCAGGTCAGTTAAACCAAAATCTCTAGTGGGGTTGGAAGCCCAGGTTTTTTTTTTTTTTTTAAGCTCCCTATGCAAGAAGGTTGAGAACCACTAGTCTAGAGTGAGTTTTACTCTAGTCTCTAACCCTAGCTCACTATTCTATGGCTAACAACTCTTAAGAAGAGCTAACTGCAGAGAGTAAGCTAACCTCAGTATTACCTTCTGCTAAATTCTGGTTCAGTTGAAGAAACTGGGGAGTCCAGGAAAGTAACCCGTATTTTCCAATTTCTATAGCAAAACCAGGCATGGTAAATGAAAAGGAATGAGTCTCAATGATGTTTTTTTAAACGGAAAGAAAAACACCTCTGCCCCTCACCCACGTTTCTTTTGTTGAATCGGGGGGTTGATCAAAAAGTGTCACTCACCCATGATGCAGTTTGTCTCTTTTCCAGCCACTGTGTTGGTAATAAAGTCACCTTTCAGAGCTTTATAGTCCCTGTAAGGCTTGTCTTTCCTGGGTACAAGGATAACCTTTATTACCAGGCCCAGTCCGTCCTTTGGAGAACTTATAGAAAGTTAAAGTGGACAGGGACTTGGAAGCTCATTGAGTCCATGCCTCTCATTTAAGCAATGAGGAATTGGAGGTTCTGAGAGATGAAGAATGACTTTCCTCAGCTCAAATCATTTCTGAAACAACTTCCCTGTTGTTGTCTCATTGTCCTCCTCCCACTGGCATCCCTTTCTGGCTAAGGCTTTTTTTTTTTTTTTTTTATGTACTTCAGGTGAAGGCTTACAGAACAAATAGTTTCTCATGAACCAGTAGCACACATATT